AATATTTTATTTATTTATTTGACAGAGATAGATCACAAGTAGGCAGAGAGGCAGGCAGAGAGAGAGAGAGGGAGAAGCAGGCTCCCTGCTGAGCAGAGAGCCCGATGCGGGGCTCGATCCCAGGACCCTGAGATCATGACCCGAGCCGAAGGCAGAGGCTTAACCCTCTGAGCCACCCAGGTGCCCCAAATAAATAAATCTTTAAAAAGCCTGGAAGTGGACCCAAGTCCGTGGGGGTTGAGCAGGAAGAGAAAGCCACATCTACCACCCAAGAGGTCCGTCCCAGTCCTCGTTTGGTGGCTAAGTCACTCTGCAGCCCTCTGTCTTGGGTGGCAGGACTCGATGATGTTTTCTCAAGCCCCTCCCTGTTCCCCCCCAAGTCTTACACCCACGCCTGAACCCCCACCCCCACCAAGGGCTCTGCAGCATGAACCTCACAGGGCACTTCAAGAAATTTCAGGCTGACCAGGTGAGGGTCCAGCTGCTTCCCTGCGGCTGGTGGAAGGCAGCGCACATGGACCTCTTTGGTGAAATCTCTGATGGGATATTGCCAAGAAACTCAACCAGGACGGAAAATGCCAACCAGCAGGGAGAGGAACAAAACCAGGGACATACAGCAGTATCTCTGGTGATGGCTGTCCTTGCATGGCATTCATGGATGGTTGACTAGGAGGGCTTCGGATGCAAAGCCACACGCTCCCTGTTCCCGCCCACCTTGGAGAAGTAGTTTTGGGAGCAGGTTCTGGAATGCGTGGGTCTTGCTTATTTTCCACCTGTGAAGTGAGGGCGGTGGTGGTAGAGGGAGGTAACCGGCGGTTCCCAAGGTCCCCCTGGCTAGAACCTCCAGGGACTCTACCCTGGGTCTTGAAGGGCAGGCAGAGCCACCCCAGTTGTGCTGGGGGGACCCTCAGTGGGGGGACCCCCAGTCGGGGTCAGTGCAAGCGAGCACAAGTGTTTGGTCTGATGTAACTGGACACCCGAGAAGATGGAATCGACCGGAATCCGACCCCAGGCTTTGTGCGGATACGAATAATTAATGAAGGAGCCGGACTGCGGGCGGGAGGGACCAGGAACTTCCGCAGCCTCTGACTCGGACTTGCCAGACGGTGGCGCTGTAGGACAAGGAGCTGAGGTACTCTTGGTCGGAGCCGCACAGGCCGGCCGCTGGGTGGAGGGAGCGCCCAGAAGCTGGGATCTCCAGGCCAAGGCAGAGGGTGCCGCTCCCCGGGGAATCTGCCGCAGTCCCAGCAGGTCTCACGCAAGCTGGAGCACGACAGGCTCGCGTCAGCCAAAGAGATACCCCGTAGCTATTTCTGTCCCACTCTGGACTGACCCCTTGGCCCAGGTCCTTGAAAAAACAGACCCGGAGGGGCCACTCAGGGGCCTCGTGTCCCAGCAAGACTGCCCACCCTTCTGTGCATAGCTTCCAGTCCCTCAGGAAATTCGGCGTCTTGGTGTGCCCCCTTCCCTTTTGGGGGGGGACCTAAGAGCAAAAAAGTGGGTTAAATTCAAAATATCTTTACTTTCTTGAGGTACCTGGACACAAAGGCTTTCATTCCTGTATTGTTTGTTTTTAAGGGGGAAGGGGCAGAGGCAGAGGGAGAAGCAGGCTCCCTGCTGATCAGAGAACCGGAGACGGGACTCGGTACCTCGACCCTGGGATCATGACTTGAGCCGAAGGCAGACGCTTCACCACCTGAGTCACCCAGGCGCCCCAGGTTTTGCTCCTAAAAGCACACCCTCATCCCGGAGTTGTTCCCAGGATTTTGGTTGCCCCCTTTCAGTGTGCTCTATTAATAAGAAAACAATCCCCATTAATCTATTGCTTCAAAGTGCCAGCCCCTGTGCTAATCCTGGTGTACACGTTCTCGACTGTAATCGTGGTCTAATTTGGCTTGAGGAGATGTCTTGTACCGTGCCAGGGTCCTGTGTCACAGGTGAGGCCCAGAGAGGCTAAGACACTTGCTCGAGAGCACACAGAAATTACTGATGAGGGTGGGCTTCATGCTCTTGACCACACGGGATGGCCGCCAGCTCAGTGGCCAGGCCCTTTGGGCTCTCCTGTGCTCCCACACCAGGCTCCCTGCTCCCTGCGGGTCAGAAGGCTTCAGGGTGGCTTTAGCCAAAACCAGTGGAGGTGCTTGTTTCCCTGTGGCTCCCGTGGTGGAAGGAGGATCTCCAGCCCTGGGAGTAGGTTGGCGTCTGAGGGGTGTTAGCATGTGTGGCATTTGTGTGGCGTTGGAAGGCATGCGCGTGTCGGGGCAGGGGTGGATGGCTGATCAAGGAATCCAGCCAGACCTGTAAGCCCCCGACTGGGGCTTGGGTACGTCTCCAGGCCTCGGCCTCGGCCTGTAGGGGGTCCGTCCACAGTTACTGCTGGTGCTTACATATGCCGGGCCCTTGGGAGCTCAGGTCCCTGATCCCCTGCAACCTCCCAGCTAGAGGAGAGACAGGCAGTAAAGCTGGCATCATTGTTCTGTCGAGGATAAAGCAAGTTGATGTGAATTTTACCAATGGCTATTTCAGGGACCACGTTTTGAGTCAGGGTACTTGATTTTTGAGCTCAGGTCTAAATGACGAGAAGGGGTGGGCAGGTGACAGGCGGGGACCCAGGTGCTCCAGGCAGAGGGACAAGCAAGCAGCAAGCCTAAGGCAGGAGTGAGGGCTGTGGCTGCGGGTAACCAAGAACAGAATGGCACCAGGGGTGGGAGATGAAGCCAGAAGGGACGGCCTCACCTAGGGCGCCGTGGGCTGGGTGAGGACTGTGGAGTTTCCTTCGAGGGCGGCAGAAGGGGCTGGAATGCTAAGGGGCTGCTCAGTGGAGAACATGGTTGGGAGGGCAGCAGGGAGAGGGGAAGTTCTCCAGAGACATGGTGGTGGCGCTTGGAGAGGAGGGCCAGGAAGGGGTCTTCTGGGAGCAACGCTGACAGGCTTGTCTCTGGATTCGAGGCGAGAGAGGACAAAAACAGAGTAATGAAGATTTTTGCCTCAGCGGCAGGGTTGATGGTGGCATCCTGCATGAGATGGGAAAAGCTGAGGGAGAAACAAGTTTGGTGGGAAAAAATCAAGTGTTCTGTTTCGGCCGTGTTGGTGAGAGGGCAGTACCCGCCGCTTGAGAGGACAGGTCAGCGGCGGTGGGAAGAGAGAGTCAGAAGTCCTGGCGGGGTCGGGGGGGCCGCTCTGGGTCCAAGATCAGCAGTTGGGATCTTCAGACCAGCGTGGATTTAGAACCTGGAGGCTGGGCCTGATTTCATGCAGACACCGCTGGGATGTGTCAGGGAAGGTAACCAGCCTCGAAGGGCGTCCATTTCGGAACACCATCAGACGGGAGCTGGGTTCTCACACTGGTGGTAGGTTTAAATAAAGAGACAGAGGGAGGAGAACAAATAGCAATTTTAATGTAAAATAGAGCAGCATAGAGTTTGCGGGGAGAAGGCGAGGACGAGGACATGAAGAATGCTTGAGGGGAGAAGTGCCCAGGAGCTTGGCTGAGAAAGTTCCTCAACCTGGGTCTCATCCGCCCACCTACGGGCCCAGAGAGCTCTCTCCTTCGGCCGGGGCTGGCCTTCCCAAGGTCCGTCCGGGTGGAGGAGCCCCTCTTGGTCTGCCTGATGGACAGGCGCCTGGCGTGGGTGGGGGGGGCAGGCCCTGGGTCGTTGTCAGGGGTCCCTGAGAGAGAGTACTGGCCCGAGGAGGCATCAGGCATCCCCAAAGCACAGTTACACTCATGCTCGGGATATAAAACGAGGACTTTCCGCAGGAATCACAGGGGTGGTTTGGCTGGAGTCTGGCAGCTGCCAGCAGTTTGGGGGTTTGGGTTCGCCTTCCCACGGGAGGGCCGGACAACCGAGGGGGGTGGGCTCCAGCAGGAGGAGGAATCCTAGCGGGAGGGTCCCTGGGGCTACGATGGATCGATGGATTGTTCTGGCTAACCTAAAAGGGGGCGGGGACTCTTACCAAATAGAACCAATCAAAGACCTGAAGCTGAGGTCCTTGCCAAAGCATGGGGGGGCGCGTCTCACGTGAGCGGGCAGAGAAGGGGGAGTTCCTCAGACCGTTCTGCCAAGCCTGGCAGGCTTTAGGGGTGGGTGTAGTTGCCCATCCGCAGGGTCCCCTGGCGCACCGCCTGCTCGTCCTGGTGGGCTCTCAGGGCCCTCTGGCGATCGGCCTCCCTGGGGAAGGTGCTGAGGTGGGGACGCACCTGTGGACGGGAGAGGGCAGGTCAGTGGGCTCGTGGCTCCTTCCCGGGGCTCCCCTGCTCTCCCGGCCCACCCCCCCCCCCACAGCCCCGCTTCCATCTCCGAGCAGCGACAGTGATACGAGTCACGGTGAGAGGGACGGAAGTGAGGAGTGAGCGCCCCTTGGTGATGAGCCCTGGGTGGGCGGAAGGCCTCGAGGGCAATGCCAGCCTTCCGGAGGACACATGGGGACAGATCCAAGAGTGTTTCTCCGTTAGAATGCGAGGCAGTCAGTACTGGTCTTGTCTCCCCTGAGAACGGGTGCGGAGTGGATGTGACCTGGCCTGGGACACCGCCGGGGGCCCCCCAACCCAAGATCTGGGTCACCACTTCGGGTCCGCCAGACTCTTATTGTGGGCTGTCTGGCCTCAGGTCCTAGGAGCATGTGCTCACCATCCACGTACCTGAGGTCCCAGTGGAACCCAAGCTGAATGTGTTCACCATTTTACAGATGAAGAAACTGAGGCCCAGAGCAGTCTGTCCAAGGCTGGCTGCACAGGGAATCCGTGTCAGAGAAATTGTTTTAGCCTCCACCCCCCACCCCTGGACACTAAATTGTGGATTCTTGCTAGAAAATTCTGTTGCACCCACAGCTCACACTGTGTTTGGGTGCCTCCCCCAACCCCTTCCACTCGCGCATGAGGTGAAAGGGGGTAGGGGCTGCTGAAGTAGGAACTCGTAAAAGTCAGATGGCAGTGGGTTGACTCGGGTGTTACTGTAGGACATAAACCACGTTCTTCATTCTTAGGCAGGTAGACTCTTTGGCGACTCTGCAAGAAGTCATGGACCTTCTCCTCTGGGGGGGGGGGAAATACCCCAAGTCCTAACATACAAAATGGTGTGGGTCACCACTTAAGATCTGTGGACTCTTTATGAGTCCCCCTTGGGCTGTCTGTGTGTGGCAGCACTTCCGGAAGCCACTGTAGCCCTAGCCTCAGGTTTTGAATTTCTTGGATATACATTAGGATCATCTGGGGCCCTTGTAACCCAGGTAGGGCCAGAGCCCAATTCCAAAGCTCTTGAGTCCTCTTAGGGCAGGGTCCTTGCCGCAGTCACCTGATGCCTCCCAGGACCCAGGGCTCCACACCTGTGCTCAACTCCTTTTGGTCAGTCAAACCATAATCCTGTTCTCAGCTGCATCTCCAGCTTCAGAAAAGTCCCCAGGTGGCCGCATACAAGTTATTGGGAAGAAAGAAGACCCTACACTTTGTGCGGGAATAAAATAGCCAGCAAACAAAAGGCTTCTAAGGTGTATCTTTGTCTCCCTTCTGGCAAGGGATGGCTTGATTTTTACACTGTGATACAATTTTCCTGACACCTGTGCTTCCCAGAAGGCAGTTAGAGATGCTCAAGAAGGCTGGCACTTAGGCTCTCCAGACACCTCGTGGACTCCCCGGCTGATTCAGATGCCCGGCCAGCTGGGACTCCTATGTGTTCAGGGTCTCCTGTGGCATTCAGAGTGGCAAGGCTCCCCTGAGGCCGGGCTTCTGCCAGGGAAGCATAGCTCTGCAGCCCACATCTCTGCTAATTCCACACATCCCCCCTGGCCTTTGTAGAGGGCTGAATGTGACCCCTAAAAAGATATGTCCACATCCTAACCACTGGAACTGAGGATGTGACCTTTTCAGATGTAATTAATTTAAGGATCTCAAGATGAGAACATCTTGAATTATTCAAGAAGGTTCTGATTCTGCTGGCAAGAATGCTGGAGACAGAAGACATAGACACAGAGGACAGGACCACATGAGGCCATAGTGATGTGGCCACAGTTCAGGAATGCCAGGAGCACCAGTAGCTGGAAGAGGCAAGGAGGCATTCTTCCCTAGGGCCTTTGGTGGGAGTGTAGCCCTGCTGACATCTTGATTTTGGGTTTCTGGCCTCCAGAACTGCCAGAGAATGGATTTCTATTGTTTAAACCACCAAGTTTGTGATAATTTGTTATGGTAGCCTCAGGAAATGAGTACAACCTCCAAGCCATTCCCTGGGCAATTCAGTATGCATCAATGATACAGGGTACTGTTGCCATTTGGTGGGTGGTGTTGGTTTGGTGTTGATGGTGGGTAGTACTGATGGATGGTAGTGTCGCTGATGGATGGTGTTGATGGTGGGTAGTGTTGATGGATGGTTGGTACTGATGGTGGGTAATGTTGATGGTGGGTAGTACTGATGGATGGTGGTACTGATGGATGGTTGGTACTGATGGTGGGTAGTGTTGATGGTGGGTAGTACTGACGGATGGTAGTACTGGTGGATGGTTGGTACCGATGGTGGGTAATGTTGATGGTGGGTAGTACTGATGGATGGTGGTACTGATGGATGGTTGGTACTGATGGATGGGAGTGTCCCTGACAGATGGTGTTGATGGTGGGTAGTGTTGATGGTGGGTAGTATTGATGGATGGTTGGTACCGATGGTGCATAGTGTTGATGGTGGGTAGTACTGATGGATGGTGGTACTGATGGATGGTTGGTACTGATGGTGGGTAGTGTTGATGGTGGGTGGTGTTGATGGTGGGTGACGTTGATCTGGTGCTGCTGGTGGGTGGTGTCGGAGGGTGGCAGGAGGTGTTGATTAGATGGAAGCAGGCTCAGCACTCACTCCCGTCTCCTAAGGAGGCAGCAGAAGGATCCAGCCCCAAAGAACTGCTCAGCTTAGAGATAATCGTGTGAAAACCAGCACACAGACAAAACAGAACCCTAGAAGAAATTTTCTTTTCTGCAGTCCCCTTTTACTTAGAAACGTAAGTGGGAAAGAAATATTCACTCATACATTCATCTAAAAAATTCGCATTAAGTGCCTACTGTATTCCAAGGATGACTGGGACGTTTTGTACTTTAGCATTCAGTTCCATTTTCCCTTTGGTTTTCTAGAGGGATGTTCTGAACGTAGGAGGCTCACCCCCGTGGCCGACCACACACATTCTGGCACACACTATGTGACCAGCCACACTGGGGGACGTGGGAGAGGCAGAAGGCATGCCACATGTGGTCTCTGATGTCATGAATTCCCATTCCAGCTGGAACCTTATGGGATTAAGTCATCCAAGACAGGGGAGCTCAAGCCAGTACCCAGCCCTGGAGCCCTGTAAAACAGGGTGTGCACCCGTCCTGTGCGGGGACCCCCAGTGCCTGGCACGGGGCCACGTTTAAACAAAGCTGCTTGGTGTGTGTGTCCCAGATGAAAACCAAAGGAGATTTGTGTGACTGGGTCTGATAGGCTCTTCTAAAGCCTAACTCAAGAAAAACCTTGCACCCAGTGCGGGAGGGGTCTTTAGAAAGAAGGGAACCTGGATCCCTTGAAATCCCCAAATTCCCCAGCAGAAGCCAGGAGTCCCTGGAGAGGGGAGGTTCAGCGCTCAGAATGCCAGGAAGCAGGGTGCCCTCTGGACCCTTCAGCTGTGCCAGCCGCAGCACACGGATTTCACACAAGCCCCAGACTGTCCAGACGTTGTCTCCATTTTACAGATGGGGAAATAGAGGCCCAGAAAGGTTAAGTCGCCCACCCCGGTCGCACAGAAAACCCAGAGCTGTAGGACTACCCCAGGTCTTCCCTGAGAGACTCGACTCTCCTAATAAATGCTCGTGAAATGAATCGAGTGTGTCACTGCTGGGAACGTTGTGGCTCCTATCCCGCAGGCACACTCCCCTCCTAAAACAGCAACTCAGCCAGAGATGAGGAGCCTAATTACAAGTCAGGCCTCAAGCCGCGTGTGGTCACGACCCCACGGACCCCTGGAGCCCCAGGATGAAGAGCTTCGGAGCAAGAAATTCCTTCGGAGACGCCTTCTAAATTAAGCCATCCGCGGTCTGCCTCCGCCTGGAGCTAGGAGATTGTGACGGCGTTGGCAGGAGGCAGCTCTGCTCAATGGAGCCGAGTCGCTCTAGGGTCCACGCAGGTAAATAAGAGGCGAACGGCCGGCCTGCCAGTAGCCCCGGGAGCGGAGCGGGCAGGCACAGCTCTACCCCCATCGACCAAGGCCCTGCACCTGTCCAGATGGGCAGCATCTAAACAGCATTGCCCAGACAGGGACCAGGTGCCTCCGTCATGCGGCACACGTGGGGACACGCCGGTGAGGGAGACGGGCGGTGGCGTGCACCCATGGACCCTGCAGGACGGCAGGGTGGGGGGGCGGCGCGGAAAACTACGCATGTTTAGTGGCAATTTATTAGGATCGTGGATGGGGATTTTATTTTATTTTAAACATTTTAAAGATTTTATTTATTCCTTTGACAGAGAGAGATACAGCGAGAGAGGGAACACAACCAGGGGGAGTGGGAGAGGGAACAGCAGGCTTCCCGTCGAGCAGGGAGCCTGATATGGGGCTCGATCCCAGGACCCTGGGATCATGATCTGAGCCGAAGGCCGTTGCTTAACCACTGAGCCACCCAGGCGCCCATGGGTGGGGATTTAACTCCAGCTGGGGGGTGGGAAGGCCTTTCTAGAGAAGGTGAGCAGGCTGGGCAGGGGATGATGGAGAGAGAATGTCCTAGATGCGGGAACCTACCGAAGCCCTATGGTGGGAAGAATATGGGCAAATGAGAGGAAAGGAAAGTGAATTGGTGCCCCTGGGGGACAAGACAAAGCAGGTCGCTGAGCAGCCATCGGATCTCAGAAGAGATTAGTGTTCACCGCTGGTCCTGGGATCCCTAATCCCCCGCAGACAATATTTCTTGACTCTCTGCCATCGAACCGGAATAAAAGATTCCCAGAGACCCAGGGTTGGAAGAGAACTTGGACGCCATGGAATCCACATCTCCCGGTGAGAACCCAGGTGGGAAGTCTCTGGGCTCAGCCCCCGCAGAGTGAGCCAGCAGCCCACCCGCCGCCTTTTCCGCGTCCACCCCTGCTGCCTGTGACCCTGCCTGGCCCCCGGTGGGATCTAGATTCCTGGATTCCGTTTCCCACGAGGTTGAACGCATCCATGCTCTTCCAATCCACTTCCAATGGATCGGCTTTTCGTTTG